GGGGAGTGTCAGAGCAGCTACAGGTGCTACGTCACACGCTTCTACCTGTAACAGCAGCGTACACGATAAACAACCCGGTAACAGTCGCCGTTCTTTTTGCTGTCTGGCTGTTTATTACACGCCGTGCTGTTGTTGCAAGCGTGAAGTGCACGAAGCTGGTGTAGCCTAGCCTAGCCTAGCCCCGACAAGGGACGGCGCGCGGGAGCTTGCTGATTGGCTCTTCGGAAGCCCACTTTCTCCGCGGGTCACACTGATATTATACCTTCATTTTAAGGTGAGGGGCCACAAAATATTGTACTGCGGGCCGCACTTGGCCCCCGGGCCGCGAGTCTGAGACCCCTGCTGTAAACCAAACAAGGCTGAAGATATATGATGTGGTGTTCAATAAGAGGGCTGAATGCATTCAAGGCCTGTAATTGGCCGGGATTGGCTGATAGTTGGTCAATTTACGACTGACGTATCACAGCTCTGACACTGAGCCAGGGGCCGCGGTTGGGTTTAACTCCTGGGTGTAAATCCCAATAAAACATGTTCAGAACCGCTGATTGAATTCTGGCAGCCGTACAGAGTTTGGCTTCTTTGATACTTCCATTCGTACAGTAAACGAGTGCTAATGACTATCAGACATCGATCAGGGCAGATCTACAGGTGATTGGTTCAAACCATTCTGTCATGATGGAAATTAAAATTAGGGAAATTAAATAGTTTACTAAATAAAAAAATAAAGTAAATGATTAATCATGATTAATCGAGATCGTAATCAATCACAATTTTTCAATAAATTGCGATACATATCGCAATAACTGAAAGGCATACATCTGTTTATATTGTATTTATGACTAATATAAATTATGGAAAATTAACGTGGAGAAAAAATTTTACATATTGCTGATTAATCTCACAAATTATATTGATTAATTCAGAATAAACGGGTACGAAACTCTCATTTAACTCTAGGCGTGTCTTTGGAGTACACCTGGGGGTATGCGCACCCCCATTTGAGAACCACCGACGTAATACTTTGTAGGGTTGATTCACATACTCATTTGAAGTTTATCAAATACATGTAAAGATGTGAAGTTGCCCCCCCTCCCCTTCACTCCTCCCCCCAACTCTGAGTGTAAAACACACCGGGGAGGCAGTGTCAGCGGTGACACCTGGTGATGATTGAGGAGAACTTCTCTGTTCTGTCACAGCCTGATCCAGAGTCAGCTGTCATCCTCCAGCTACAGCACTCACAGGTGGAGTAATCTCCCATCAATCACAAAAATGGGCGGGGTGTGTTTAAACACATGATTCACGTTTTCATCCTTCTTCCTCCTCCCCCTCCTCCTCCTCCCATCTCCTCCTTTCCCAGCCTCTCCTCCCTGCTCCTTCTCTGCAGGCCTGCTGCAGAGAGGGGCGTGTGACGTCAGTGAAGGCTGGAGCAGTTCCGTGGTTGAAGCGGAAAAAAAAAATGGGAAGACGATTGCGAGGTGAGTGAGACGCACATTTCTGTCTTTTCTTAAGCCTCGATCTAGCATCACATCTCTAGGCTAGTGCTTACGGCCGTGCGCGCGCGTGCGTCCGTGCGTGTGTGTGTGCATTGTATATTTGCCATTAAGGCTCTACGGACACCGCTGCTGCTGCTGCTGCTACGGTGCAACCATTTAAAAGAGCCAGTGTCGGGAAACAGGCAGCGTCCGGCGGTGAGCCAGAGCCGCTGCTGCTGCTGTGGAGTCCGGGGTAAATGTAGCACATGTCAGCCTGTCTATCGACCATTCCCCTGAGATTAGTGCACTGCTGCTGCTGCTGCTGCTGCGTCGGTGCTGTTAGTGTCGGTACCGTCGAACCCGACTTCGGGCCCATTTGTTCACATTAGAAGTCACCACCTGGGGCTCTTCCTGCGGTGCCAGTGTGTTCGCCGATGCCGCTGGTCCACACCCACTCGATATGGAGGTCGTGATTGATCCATGTGCAGTGCAGATAACAGGAGTGATGGTGCCGAGTGTTGACAGGCATTTGATTGAGGCTCACGTGACTCATTTTCTGGGTCCAAACCAGGCACTGATGGGCCGCTTCAACCTGGATGTCCCTGCTGATGATGTGGATGTTCGGTGTTTACTACTACACAGCTGGTGGAAGGCATGTGTGTGTCTGTGTAACAGATAACTAATCAATCATGTAGTGTTGGATCTGCAGGCTGGGTCTGGGGGTCTGGACCGGTCAGCAGACCACCACTGTCAGTCATGGTCACTGTGGTCAATTTAATCTGTGAAATTGAACTAATTCCACATTAGCATTTTTTTTTAATTGGGGAGAAAAATGGAGTCAGGGCCACCTGGTGGTGCAGTGGTTGGTGCTACTGCCTTAGGGTAAGGACGATCCTCCAATTCCTACTACAAACCTTCAGTTTGTTGGACACTAGATAAAGTGGCCCAGTGATGGACTGGTCAACTGCCCAGGGTGTAACCCTAACCCTCGCTGTGATTGGTCCACCTCCATCCTGTGAAGAAGATTCTTTAAACCACTCATCTAAAGTTCAGAATTGTTTCATTTTTGTTGCATAATGGAATTTTGTTAAGGTATAAACCGTGTTTCATTCCCAGTTTTCAGGACACACTGAACAGTAACGCGACAGGAAGTTGTGGTTCAGTAAAGATCGGTGACCCTGCAGGACTTGTTTACCTCTCGTACTGGAGCAGTGTTACGTGAATGGACTGTAATAGATATTTGTCAGTCAGTGAGCCCCAGTCTGTGCTGCTGTGTTTGTAGAATCTGATGTGACAGCAGCAGCAGCAGCAGCAGCCGGGCAGAACACGATACTGGGATACAAACGTAAGGGCAGAAAATGGAAAAGGAAGAAAACTTGTTATTTTGTAGATAGATTTTTTTTCTCCATCCTAATCCCAAATCCTTGACCGTTCCCTTTCGAGTGTGTGTTGTGGTCCGTGTTGGTAATGCATGACTGTACTACATATATATGTGTGTGTGTGTACAGTACCTGCCTGTTGTCTCACTGAGGGGCTGCTGCTCTGCTCACTCTGCCGTGACGGAGGTCTTTGACGGCGTATAGGCCTGCGGACCAGTAAACATGTCAGAGGACAGATGGTTTCAGAGTGATCACTGATTCACACAGGTGCAGCAGTACTTTACTCTCCACTGTACACAGCTGGCATTAGTATTCCTACTGGTCAGTCAGTGCATTTACAATTAGAGACAAGAGAGAAACTGACAGACGCCCTGACAGTGAAGCTGGAGTGTGGAAATATCAACCAACTGCTGTACAGAAAAATAAGTCATTGTTTTGGGGTTTGTTCCTTTTTGAATGTCTTGTCAAAGTGTGTCTTGGCGTAATGAAGCAGCAAACACAGAAACAAACGGATGATTAGTTTGGGAGCGACGCACGTGTGAAAGAGTGAAATATTTCAGGTTCTGTTGAAACCTTGAACCAGAACAAAAAAAAATTAATATTTCAGACACAGTGGTGCCGCACTGCTCTTCCCTGGACGGTTCTGTTTCCTTGCTAACATACAGTACTCTCTGCACTCTCACTCAGCGTTCACTAATAGATGGATGTAATGTTGATTAGCATGTGCTGTGGATTGCGCCGCGTGATGAGGTCCAGGTTCTAACGCCGTATGTCGCAGTGATGGAACAAGACTTGTTAATGAATTAATAAATTGGGAAATGACGGTGTAACCATGAAACATCGTAGGTCAATGATGTACATATACAGGTACAGGTACAAACATATACATAATATACATAACATAAGGCCACATTTTTGTCTCATTTGCGATCCCATCCTCGGTATTGAATGATCTCATCAAGTTTTTTATAATATTTTTTGTTGGAGTTAAATACATGGTCTCTTTCATGTACTGGTATCCAAAAATGTTTAAACTAATTTGTTAAATGTTTGCTTCACCTTAAGTCTACAAAGTCAGAATAATATTCTGGGCCTTAACTTCACAGTCAGGCCGTCTGTTCTGCCTGGAAAGTTACATTTGTAAAGCACTTACTCTCCTACGAAGGAGGTCCACGGAGACTGTCAGGGTTGTGAGCTCGCAGGGAGACAGGAAGTGCTGATCTACTGCCGCCTCATTTTGGAGTTTTTGACACGTCGGTTTTTATCCAGACAAAGTATTGAATGAAGAAAAGAACAGTGTAACATTGAAAGGTTCTAATGGAGTCGGCAGCAGACCATCAATTTCACTGGGCTATAAAATCACTCATGAACTGAACGGGGCTTTTGTTCTGAGGACTGAGTTGTTGATACGTTTATTTAAGAAGGAAAAACAACCAGAATGCTGTATTTACTGCGTCTGTGAACTGTGTTTTCTTTTTGTCTCTGACGGCAGCCATGTTTTTATCGAGAGGCAGGTCCTCAGAGATGGTGATTCAATGTGATTGGCCATTTATCAGCGTGTTGCGCTGTTGCATAATGCAGTCCAGTTCGTTCATTGATTTTTATTTACCATTTATTTTCCCACCTCTATAGCTAAAATGACTCTAAACCAGGGGTGTCAAACATAAGGCCTGTGGACCAAAACCGGCCCGCTAGGGGTTTCAATCTGGCCCATTTGAAAAAATGTTTTAAAAAAAAATGCACATGATGTTTTGTGTGAGAAAACATGGACTTATGTTGTGATTGTTCTGGTCCGGCCCACTTGGCATCTGTGCTAGGGGTTTCAATCTGGCCCATTTGAAAAAATGTTTTAAAAAAAAATGCACATGATGTTTTGTGTGAGAAAACATGGACTTATGTTGTGATTGTTCTGGTCCGGCCCACTTGGCATCTGTTATAGACTCAACAATATTGTACATTTATTTACTTATTTAGCAACAACTGTTTAAGCTAACACAGACTGCTACATTGTTTGTACACCAATCCACTCACATTTATTGATACAGCAGTGGCTAAAAGACCACTTGATATATTTTAAATCGGTCACGTCAACTACTGATTCCACTGCAGGAGCAGTTTGATTATTTTATTTTATAGCCTATCTGCCATACATTAAACACAACACGTGGGGGATCGGGGCATTAGGGCGGTTGTACGACATCAACAACATGCACTGATGGCGTACATACATTGATGGATAAGTGCTCCACTTAACAGCCGCGTGGATCAATAGCAGACAGTGCTGAGCTGGGGTCTGTCCATCAGCTCACATTTGTGGGAGTCACTCACTCCGTCTCACTCACTATGCCAGGCTCATCCCGGCCACAGACGCTTTAATGATGCTCTTTGAGTGACATTGCAGCTCCAGCCTTCCAGTTCCTTCAGTCGTTCTATGTCCACTGAATGTTAATAGTTCTCCATCTGCACCGGTCGGGACTGTGGCATCAACGTGACTTTGCTGTTGTGGGAATGAAGTAGTGTAGAGTATCACAGGTACATGTAGTATTCCTTAAGTACTGTCTTCCAGATACTTTAACACATACAGAATTATTTATTTGTGATTGATGAAGAAACTAACATGAAAGCTAAGCAGCTGGGTGTTTACGAAAGCCGACTGTGAGCTTGGGTTGTTTTGCTGTAACTTTTTTTTTTCTTGGAAGTACATTGCTGTAGTACACCTTGGAGTGATGTTAAATATTTAATAATTAACCAACATACTATTTACTGAATCTTCTGCACAGCTGGTACTGTTGGCCTTGGTTGTTTACATTATTTAGCAATAGCATCACTGTAACGTATGAAAACCTGGAAAATCTGGTGCAGTTTTAAGTGGCTGCATAAAATGACTGGGCGGGCTGCATTCGGCCCGCAAGCCTTGAGTTTGACACGTGATCTAATATAATCGTACGTTTCATTTCATGTTTGTCACGTTTCATGTTTTTGTCATGTAAATAGATAGAGTAAAAATTACTTTATTTTTCCATTCACCTTCATTTAGGTTTGTCTGAATGTTTGAAGCGAAATTCATTTTTTATATTAATGATATGTTGATATGGATCCAACTGTAGTTTGGTCTATCATTAGTCTATTTTCGTGAATTTTCAATTCTTCTAACAAATGAACCGTGTGACTTTGTTCTGCTTCGCCGTCGGCTGTCGGCGTAAAAAGTGACTGTGGAGGAAACACATTTTTCTACATGAGGAATAGCGGGATTAACAAGTCCATTATTGAGGCTGTTGCTCCTGTCACACCTCCACACACCTCTCTCACAGAGAGGAGACACAGAGCCAAGAGAATCACACAGCTGCCTGCCTGTTTGAGTGCAGCTCCTCTGCACAGGGCTGGTAAAACAAATCTTTATCTGAAAAGACATGCACACAGGAACAAGTCACACATTAGATTAGCGTTAGATTGAGCCCCAGATCTGGTCAGAGGGATCAACGTCATGTGGAAGTTGGTGTTAAAGCAGAATTTCTAATATATTCGTAATGTGTCCTAAGAGTTATTTTAAACCTATGTTTACTGAGGGGGAATGGGGGGGGCGAAGGGGTCCTGATTCAGAGAGAGGAGAAACACTAAAGAAATGGACTTTTATCCGTGTATTAACGAGATAAAGTAAGTGCAGTATATAAAGTATTATTGAATTGACATTAATCTAAGATTTATTTATTTTTTGCGCCGTATGTTGTTGCTTTTAGTCATGGAGAAAAATTTTCCTGACTCAGCTTAGATGACATAATGTGTACATTGACCAGAGCGATAAGCTGTTGCTTAATCTTGGCACAACTTTAGCAATATGGAAAACTCCAAAGTGGCAGAAAAGTACTTTAGGGTGGTGCAGCTTCTGCATATTTGTCTTTATACAGTGTGTTCAATGAAAAAAACATGCTATTGATGGAAGTTCGTATATTCCACCTACATTTTAGCAGAAACTAATTGCTTGTAATAATGTTTTAACCTCTGGAAGCAGAAGCAGTTTTGTTAACTTCGATACCACAGCCCAACACGCCCGACCACTAAAGCACAGGCTGGTCCAAAAACACAACTGTGAAAACCTTTAAAAAATCCACTCAGAGCTGGAGTTGAAATAACTCAAAAAGACGATGTAGATTGTATGTAAAATGACGGGCCACAGGACAACGTTGCAGCTTTCCTGCCTGACAAATACAGTATTTTCAAGTGGAGCCTGGATGTTCAGGCGCTGCAGTCCGCTAATGCCACACCAGGGAAATAGTAAAGTACAGTAGCGCTAATCCCCCCAGTGAGAATAAATGACTGTGGCAGGGATGCTAGTGCGCTTAATGTAATTTGTTCCCGAAGACGCATTCAGTGAATCTTAGACTGATACATAACCAGTTCAGAGTCTCCTGCTTGTCTAAGATAATCAATAAACAATGAGAAAGGTCTAACGCTAGCTCGTTAGCTGGTACATTACTGCACGACCTCAAAGTATTTTTTTTTTTGTCTTACAATTTTGATGCTAAAATATTTGTATTTTAAATATGTCGTGTTTTCTCTGGTGATGGTTAAAAGGGAGGCAACTGCAGTGATTTGTGCCTCATGAAGGACACACGCCCTCTGTTCACTGGTCCACGTTACTGTACACTCAGTACCACACAGCTGAGCTGCATTGGCAGGACGTGCCATGTGGCTACCGACCAGCCTCTCTCCCTTCCATTTCCTGCTTTGGTTAAATACCTTGTATAGTAATTTTAAGCAGATGGGAGTGTGTGCTGTGTGCAGTAGTGACTGCGCTGGTGAAACCCTCCTTCTTTAATAAGTGGACACGTCGTGCCAGAACACTCCCAGTCCGAGCCTCACCAGACTTTTAATAACAGCCTCAGTGACTTCTGGGAATTTCCAGCGTTTTGGCCGGCTGTGGAGAGTGTCATGCACCAGGGATAATGTGGTTACACGGCCCATGTCTGTGTCGGCCGCTCTGCTCATTAATAGCTGATGTCGTCGGGAAGAAAAGTCGGAAAGTGTCAAAACTGCTTATCATATAAGAAAAAAATTAATTCAGCACAAATAAATAAAATCCTATAACGAAATGGAGAGTGATTTAAATCAGTTAAATGTCCACCTTTAATATGCTATCACGTGTGTCAAACTTAAGGCCCGGGGGCCAAATAAGGTCCGCCACGTCTTTTTGAATGGCCCGCCGGAGCTTAAACAGCATTTAATTTATTATTGTCTCTGTTATCCTTCATTAAGAGTTGCTGAACTAATGCGTGATTTACAAAATGATCGGAAGCAACTGTGACTTTCTTCATAACAAATGTGTCTCTATCTTTGAGCAGTAGTTTGCACAACTGGCTTTTGCTATTTAGTCAAAATCATTTTCAAAATTTTCAGTTTGTGTAATTTTAGTGTTGATGGAGGTGTACAGCTCTGCCAAACAGAGGAGATCATGGCTATGTTTAGCTGATGGAAAAATAATGTACCAATTTAATCGATTAGGAGATTTCGTTTGCTTTCTAGCACCACCTGCAGGGGTAATATTGTTTCTCTACCTAAATATATTTTTTCTTAATCTTCTTTATCTTTGTTTTTGCTTTCTCCATGTTTAGGACCTCACACAGGGCAGCCATGAGAGGTGAAGCTAGGAGCCCAGTGACCTATGGACACAATGTGTGGTCATGTGACTGATGTGGACCGGTCCACCTCAGACGGAACACTCGTCCCAGTGATTTGTTGTAGCGCTCCTAACTTCACCATGAGGAAGTCCGTGAGACACTCGGCCTCTTCGATGTTGTACCGGCGCTGCCATTGTGCTGTATGAGCGCCCCCCTTCCTTCTGTGGCTGTCACTGCACGGAATGGCCTCTCTGGACCTGCCATACCACTGTCCTCGGTGCGGGGAGCACAAGCGATTCCGAAGCCTCTCATCCTTGCGAGCCCACCTGGAGTACAACCACACATACGAGACCCTCTACGTCCTGTCCAAGTCCAACAGTGTGTGTGATGCTGCTGCCCTGCTGCCCCTAGTGGCCGAAGGCGCTATCCTCACACCCGCCAACAACAACGACCCCTTCGAGCCGCTCCGCCCCTCAGCTCTGAAGGAGCGCCGTTTCCCTTGTCGTGAACTGCCTTGTGTGGACGACCTGAGTTTGACGCCAGCTCACCCCAGCTCTGCGGCCCGATATATTCCCAATGTAGAGTTTCCCTTAGGGGAGATTTTCATGAAGAAGGCCATGACCTCTGCAGACCCGGGTCCTCATGGAAACCCCAGCACAGCCGTAGCTGTGGCTGCTAATGTAGCAGCTAGCGCAGTGGAGGCGGCCTATGAGGAGAGCCTGGCCAGGCTGAAGGCACGTGCGTTTGAGCGTCTGGAGCTGGATGAAAGGCTGGAGAAGCTGTCGGAGGAGGTAACGATGACTCCTTTGTTGACAGCGCCAATTTGAGACCAAACACTTTCCCATTTGGGGTTGTGTCAGTCGGTAATTAGCGCCTGTGCATGTTGACACTTAGTCTTCTCCATCTAGTCTGCTGCTGCTGCTGCTGCTGCTGCTGCTGCTGTTGTTCTGATTAGTATTTTACACTTGACGTAGTGAAAATGTCGGTGTATTGAAGGTGGAAAAAAAAAATGTTTTTTGAAGAATCACTTTCAGTTTTTCCTTTCATCAGTGGACGCTGACACTGTGATACCTGATATTGATTGATGATTACAGTGGTAACTCAGATTCTCTTTCCCACGTAACACCCTCAATGTTTTCCCAGCGTTGGGATTTGGGGGTCCTGGGGGGGTTCAGACCCATCTTCCAGTGTCACTTGATCAAGTTTTTACCTTGAAGTGTGATAAGTTATAATCCGTACACGTTAGCAGCGAGTTCTTGTTAAACACAAAAACTAAAAATAACTAAATCTGGATTTATCACCAAAGCCAGTTTTTAAGGGACCGTCATTAAGTCGTGTGTGGCAGCCAGACATTAAAATAAACTCAGAAACTGCTCAAACAATTAGGGCCTCTGCCCAAGAATTTGTTCCGCCGTCCACAGAACGTGAGGACGCCCCTGTAGAACCATCCATCTCAGTGAATGAACGGCTGTTTCACTGCGCAGTCAAACTGTAACAGATGGTAACGGTTTTCGTCTCCAGAGCTCTGCGAGCTTTTAATCAGGAAGTTATTTCCTGACTAAATGACAATACATTACAATCTTTTCATGCATAATTACAGGCGTCGATAACATCACCTCCTCCAGCCAAGAAAACTGCAGTACTGAAAAGTTGTTTTTTTCACACCCAGAATTTACACAGAAAAGTTTGGGTTTTTTTTAGTATGTGAAAATTACAGGTTTTGTTTTTGATTACGAGCAGAAACTGATTTTCTTTCCAGTTCCGCAGATAAACATTGTTAAAATCAGACTGGCACGCTGTGGTGAACAATCACGGTTTTAGTAATAAAGAACTTATTTACAATATCTAGTTGAAGACGTTGACATTAAGAAGCTCAAGTCCTTCATGTCTTGTAGGTGGAACAGAAAATAGCAGCGCGCGTGGGCCGTCTTCAAGCGGAGCTGGAGAGGAAGAGCTCCGAGCTGGAGCGAGCCAAGCAGGAGAGCGAGCGGCTGAGCCAGGAGAAACAGGACCTGGAGGACAAGGCCTCGGAGCTCTCCCGGCAGGTGGACGTCTCTGTGGAAATGCTGGCTAACCTCAAACAGGATCTGGTGAACAAGGAGGCGGAGCTCAACCACAAACAGCAGTAAGTGATTTGAACACTTCACTCCAGTGAGGCACATTCAGGACTGATTGTCAAGACATGTGGTTTGATACGTTAACCCTCCACAGATGCTAATCTCCATTAGCCCCATTTATCATGACTGTTCACATGCAGTTTTATTTATAGATAATGCTAGGTGTGAAAGCTAAAAATATATGTCTAATTTCTGACCAACCTGACTCAACCTGTTATTCAAAATTCTAAAAAAAAAAACATTTCTGACCAACCTGACTCTGTTATTCTAAATTCTAAAAAAAAAAAATCAAATTAAAAACAACTCCTCTACCTTTGCTTCTTTATACATTTCGAAGCTCATCACCATAAAAATCCTCGTTGGTTTTTGAATTGAAACACAGACGTTGGTGTCGTCGATGACACAGTGATGAATTCATAAAACACATGATCATTGATAATGAAAACACACCGTTAATAACTTAACATCAAATCCCTCCTCCAGATGTGTTCTGCAGCTGTCTCCTCCTGTGGATGACAGGCTGCTCACACTGAATGGAGGGATGGATGGATGGAGGGATGGATGGGACGGTGCAGCTGGGAAACAGTTGTCTTGTCACCGACTCCCTATAAACCTGCCAGTCTTCCCAGTGCAGGAACGGTGGCTCATGTTTATGTCCTGCTCCCTGTGCTGCGTCTCTATCACGCCCTTTTCTCCTCACTCTGCTCTCAGTTTTCATCACTTCCTGTTGGTCTCCTTATCAGCTGTGAATGTCAGCAGTAGGTCAGACACACAAAGGTCATTTCCCAGGTTTTTTTTTTTCTAATCTCACCGCAGATAAAACAAGTTAATATGTGAGCGAAGCACAAAACTGTGACCAGACACAGGAGCTGTGAGCTGCAGAACCAGTGTTTGTTATTATGACGTGTTATGACCCTAACACTACTGCAGTATTACTCCTTTGATACTGCATATGACAAACGACTTACTTGTCTCTTGTCTGGGGTTCCGTTGACCAGTACTGCACTCAGGATACCAGTACTTCAGAAATCAGTGTGTCCCAACCTGGAGGTCACGTGTATATATGTATATATATATTTATATATATCTGTTATATATATGTATATGCAGTATATTTATGCTTTTAAATATGTATATATATATATTTATATATGTGTGTGTGTATATATGTGTGGTAGATATGTACAATATATACAGTATATATATATGTGTGTATATATTTACATACATGTATATATATTTATATGTGTATATATATAAATATATATATATATGAATTTGTAGAAGTGATCCAATAATTTTATTTAAGGACTTTTTTGCACCTTTAATTCTCACGTCCAGTACATCAGTTTGATAAAACCGTGGTAAAAAGCAGACGGATGGAACACAGTGATGATGAATGCAGTTGAATTCATTCCCAACCAGTGAATTTTTGCCAAATTCAAAGTTTCTGTTTCATCATCATCACTGCACAGAAGCTCCATCTGAAACCCAGGCCGTGGTGGTTGACGCCCTGACAGGAGGACACACCACAGAGTTTGGTCAGGTTTAGTGGAGCAGGAGCTGAAGTGAACGGCCCTGACTGCCTGTCAGCATTGATTTGGAAAGGTGATAATCTCAGCAACCTTTTGTCTCGGCCGGGTGGTTGCCTCAGGGCGATGCCAGCAGCCCAGTCTCACCTTTTTTTATTTTTTCCCCCCCCTCTTTCCCCAGTCTCTGTGAGAACTGCTGGCAGTCAAACAGTCGGCTCATTCAGAGCAGGGATGGAAAAAAGCTATCACACTGGGTGAATGTTGAGCTGAGGTGATGACTAAGCAGTCATTATTGGCTTAAACCTGTCTGCCCAACAACCTCAAACTCTCATTTTGCTCCTTTTAATCGTTGATCTTCCCCACTGCAGGTTTTTTTTTTTTTTTTAATTCTCTGCCTTTTGCAGGGATGTGTACGTCAGTTCTGTCCGATCCTACAAGTGTAAGATGAAGCTGACACAGAATTACTCTTGCTGCTGAGCAGTGTTGTGCATAGCATTTTGACAAGGACCTTGAAAATGTACTCTGAGCTCAGAATGACTCAGACTTCTTCCAAAATACAGGCAGGACACTGCAGGCGCCGCTCAGTGCCGGCACCGGTCGACATTCTAATCTCAGTGTGCAGGTGTACTTTATATCAAATACACACAAAACGCACACCGTACTCTCACTGCACTCGTCTGTGATGGCGACACGGAGCAGCAGTCTCTCCGAGGCGTGTGTTATTAAATGCTTTAACAGTGAGTGGAATAAAAGAGGATGAGCAGTAATCAGGAGAAAGCAGAGCCTGAGGAGGGATGAAAAACGCTGCTCTGATGACAGCTACTGTTTGCTTGTGTAATTGCTCACGGCCTAATGTCGTCTTCACTGCTCCACTGTACGGCTCTGAACAGCTGTTTGCGATCGAATGTGGCCCTTGGATTTCCAGCCCATTTCATGTGTCGCTGGGATAATGATGGCTCCGGTCACTTAGAGCTGCGGACGTAACGTCGTTACTCTGCTCACATTTAATTATACCTCTTCTCAGGGGAAATCTGTTTATGTGGGATGTGCAGACCGAGCACTGACACACCATCATTTAGACCAGTCCAGCCCAACCAGCATTTAAAGTTACAGCTATAGCAATAGTTGCATTTTTCAACCAAAATGTCAAAAAAAAAAACGTCTGAAGGAATATTACAGTTACAGCTTTTGGTCAGTTTTAGGACTTCAACTTTTAGAACATATTTTCTTGCATTTATTCACAATTCAAAAAATTATTTCATTTGTTTAGCATAAAGAAATTATTAAAAAACATGCGCTAGCTAGCGACATGCTAGCTTGTTCAGAGCTGCTTGATAACAGGTGCAAACGCCAGAGCTACACAGATTCAGACCTCATCATTTGAGGTGCATTCAGGTACCATCAGAAACCGTTCAGGTACCATCAGAAATGTAAAAAAAAAAAAAAAAAAACTGCTCTCCTTGATGTTACATGTTATTCAGTCGGTGGTGACCAGATGATCCTGATGGTGTTGACCTCCAGTTAGAGCAGGATATATGGGCAGTGGGCCGTCGGTGCCGTCACTGGATGGAAGAGACTGACGGGTTTGTCCTTGAGGATCAAACCGTTGGCACAGAGAGGAAACAGTAAACAGGATGGATGATGGCCGCCATCGTTCACAGGACCAGTCGCCTCCCGTCTTTCTCTCTCACTCGGTAACTGACGTGATCTGACTGCAGATGGATGACGGCAGTCAGTTGGTTTTAATCCCCTAGGGTTGAAGGTGAGCGAGTGTGTCAGTGTCTGAGGTTGACTGAGGTTTCCAGTGGTTTTTGGGGGTGACAGAGCACATATATATATATATATATATATATATATACATATATATATGTATGTCTATCATATTGGTAATTGATTGGCAGATGATACAGCAGGTTTTGAAACTTCAGTCATGTCTTCAGTACATTTTAAAATATTTGGCTTTAAGCTAAATTGCCGACATTACAGTATTTTCCGGTTTTCACACTTTTTATCATCCTTTGGCTGGGTTTGCGACTTATACTCGGGTGTGACTTATATATTAATATATATATAATTTCACATTTGTTATTTTTACGTATTTTCCGGACTATAGTCGCACTTTTTATCATCCTTTGGCTGGGTTTGCGACTTATACTCGGGTGTGACTTATATATTAATATATATATAATTTCACATTTGTTATTTTTACACTGACAGCCACTAGAGGGCACTTGGTGCGTCTTATACTCCGGAGTGACCTATAGTTTTTTTTTTTTTACGTTAAATGATTTTAAGTAAAAACCAATGGGACAGACTCTGGCCTGATTTCACTCTACAAACTGACAAATTATGAGTCCCGTCTCTGCAGCAGACAGTTAATTCCACATTAAATAGTGTTCTCCCTGATCCGTACTGAAATACTCTTTCTCATCATTACCTTTGTGTTGCCAGTTGTTTGCATTTTTGTGATTTAACAAAAAAAAAGAAAAAGTCTGATTGGTTTAAGCCCAGACCTGGATTAATGGGTTCCTGGGAAACCAGCCATGCATTTCCTTTTTTCTTTTTTTTTTTCTCCCCTCCTCCTCCCGAGACCTATAAAAAACAGCATAGTTCATTGTGTCTCCTTCATCAGGCTCTTTCTCTCCAAACCTTTTATCCCTGTTTTTGTCTCCTCTTCTCCTCTCACTGCCAAATCCTGCTCAGAGGATTCGAATGCCGTCTTTCTTCGTAGTCTGTCGGGTTTTTGTTTGTAGGATTCAATTGAACCAGCACCATTATTGCAGTATAAAATAATACACAATAATGTAGCACATATTTTACGGTGGTGTCTCTTTGGAAGCTGGGTGTCAGGGTGTCAACACGGAGACTGTGTTGAATAGAAGTGACCTTTGATCCTGACTCAGTGGACGGAGGTCAGGGCCAGTCTTTCATGCGGTCGTTCCTGCTACAGCTGGACGTACAGGCGTCTAAAAGGATCCACGATAAAAGATAGAAATGGAGTTTATATTTTCATCTCTTTTTAATGTAAGAACAAATGATATTTTTCTGCTTCATATTTCTAAATATGCGAAGGAAAATCATTTTCGTTTTTTTTTTACATCTGTTTTTTGTGTGATCAGTGGTTTTGTTGGAATTTATGCTAAATATGAAGCTGTGTTTTCCCCACATTTTGGTCAAAGATTCACAGCCAAACAAGGCCATAAAGGTCGAGATGAGATGGACAGAAAAGTCCGACTCAACATTGAACCTTTCAAGTCTTCCCTCTGTCGTACACACTGATGCAGTACTGTTTACCACCATCAATTATTACACAATACTTTTATTCTTAATGAGCAGTTGATGAGCCTGGTGCAGATGATGATAATCCTGTTATTTTGCATCGTGCACAGAAGTGTCTCCAGGAGTGTTGACGATCACAGGAGGGAGGAGACGTCATCACCATTTAATGCTTGTATAATTTTCACCACTGTGTATTTGTTTATTTATTCTCAGGCGTCATGGCAGCTCTGCTCTGATTTTAACCTCACAGTCAAACAGAGAACTAATTTCGGAGTTCTACTTTAACAATCTCGGCCTGAAGATAGAGAAAGTTAATTGTGCCAGACACGGCACTATTTCTGTCACACGATGGCCCTGTTTGAGGACTGTTTGTGTGTTTTTGGTTTTCTCTCCAATCGTTCAGGATTGTACAACAATTTAAAGCAAAAAAAAAACATCTCAGTGTCTCAAACACGGAATGGGATTTTTTTTATTTTTTTTGTGAGGGTGGCCTGGAGGACAGAATAAAGAGAGGATCAGATGGACGTGACGCGGCGGTCTGAAGGCTCCTCTGTCTTTGACCAGATCACTTCATCTCTCTCGATCGTGTTGTTCAGAAAGCAGAGGCTCACGCTGTTAAAACAGACAAAAACTCAGGCGAGGACGTCTGCAGCTTCACACAAAGAGGCCGTTCAACATGAGAGAGTCTGAAAGGAAAATGTCTGACTGGGTTTTTTTAACATTAGAAAATGGATTTGTAGACTTTATAAAAAGTGATTAGCTTCACTCTGTGGTAACTGTGATTCATTTTAGGGCTCTTTAAAAGATGACAGTCGTTACCTTAGACTGGTGAATCAGCCGTGAGCAACATGGACTACAGTCAGACAGAGGATGAAAACTAAAGGTCACGCACAGAACTGTGACCCAACTTGAACTTGAACTTGAACTTTGTTCTGTGTCTGATTGAGTTCCGTCTTATTTTTGTTTATTTGGTAAATGTTCTGTCTCTTCACATCTTCAAAAAAAAAAAAACCTTCTAAATCACCAAAGATAAAAACCCAAAAGTGAGTGTCCATGTTATTGTCCTGGAGTGTTTTACTGCTACTGCTACACTACTGCATTTTATTAGTAGTAGTAGAAGTAGTAGTAGTACTTTAATGACAAAAATATATTTTGTATTTTTTACAATTTTTTTATTATATTATTTTTTATCATGATTTATACTTGTATATTTTTAATCCACCTCTTATTTAGGTATACTTATATATTTTTAATCCACCTCTTATTTAGGATTTATCTTCTTATACCTAGTGCGATATGGAAAAATGTTAATATCTTAATCTTAATAACAGTGTAGGTTAAAGGTCAAGGCCTAAAACGAAGCCTTATTGTCAGATTGTACAGTCGTTCTGGACTCGTCGTCTTCTCAGTGACTTCCGCTCCACAGCTGTTTGATCTCAGATGAAGGCGGAGTCAGCAGCTGCACAGATTCATGACGGTGCTGTTCTCTGAACTGCTGAATATGGAAATGAACTCCTGCCTGAAAACACAGTCAAGTCTGAGGTCCAGGCTGGGCCACATGGGACTTTTACCAAAAATATTAACTCTGCAAAACCAGAAGAAGAAGAAGAAGAGCAGAAATATTGTCCAGAGATATTTTTACAGCAGCCGAGAAAATCAATAAACATGAATTGTGTTTTTGTCAAATGAAGTTAAAGGAGCGATCGTTTCTGCTGCTCTCAGTCAATACAGAAAAAACAAACTGCACTGTCTGTAAGACAACACCCTGCAGAGCTTTTTTTTTAATATAGTATTGTATGTAATTATGTTAGTGACATGGGCAAACTTTTTCACTCGGGGCGGGGGGCACAGTGGGTCCTAAAGTTTGACCAGTTGAGCTGGTCAAATTACACATAGATAAAAAGTCCTTTGGATCAGGTACTGACATCTGCCTGCTGTTCCCTGGCTCGCAGTTTCAGCCGTACAAAAAAATCATGATTCATTAATCGCAATTAATCGAGGTCAATCCACATCTGCACTTTAACTAATCAGATTAAAGGTTTGGATCACAGACAGAACAGGGTTCTGGTTTGTTTCTCTTTTCTCAGGATTAAAGACCGGACCTTCAAACCTCAGAGTCGTGCTCTGTCATCATGCCCACTCTCTCTCTCTCTCTCTCTCTCTCTCTCTCTCTCTCTCACTTCTCTGGGTTTGGGTATTTGTCTCTAACAGACCCTGGAGTGTGAAGGGTTTCACAGCAGCTACTGTGTGTTTGTAGAACATTCTATCAGTTCAGTTCAACATGACCTTAACACGGACATTTTCACCGTCCACACTTAAATAAACGTATTTTTCTGTCAGACCCCGGGCGGACGTACAGTACAGCTCCAGTCATAAAGTGTCACACAGGACCTGCTGCAAACATCAGATTCATTTTTTCTTTCTTTCTTCTTTTTTTTTCTGCTCCGTCTTCAGGGAGGTGGCACAGATCGACCAGTTCCTGCAGGACACCGCGGCGCGGGAGGCCAACGCTAAAGTCCGCCTGCAGCAGTTTATCGAGGAGCTGCTGGACCGAGCCGACCGCGCCGAGAAACAGCTGCAGATCATCAGCAGCTGTGGCACCACACCCAACGGCAGCCTGGGACACTGCAGCCTGCAGGCCTCCAAGGGAAACGGACGGCAGGTGAGACGGGCCGTCGTGAGTCTGGTGTGTGATGTCACTAACATTGGCTGTTGTGACGAGGGATGGCTAAGTAATGAAATATAATTTGACAAAACATCACCGACATGAAGCGTTTGTTCACTTATTCATTTTTCAAAATTCAACGGCCTGGATTGAACCCTCTGAGGTGCTTGATTTGGCCCGTGGGCCTAACGGCCTGGATTGAACCCCCTGAGGTGCTTGATTTGGCCCGTGGGCCGTATGTTGGACACCCCTAAACTAGATCCTGTAGATGTGATGTGGTTTTTGTCAAAGTTCTTAGGTCACAGCTTCAACAAGGAAAGTTGGTTTTTATATGTTTTAACGCAGGATTTTTTCCTTACAGTTGAAGGTGTAATTACGAAGCAGAATTATTTTTTAAATTCATTTTTGACTCCATTGGGATCCAGGATCATTGTGAAGGCCAAATTAGATTTTTATTCTATTTTTTTCTCACAAGATTTTGAGCGTTTTATTAAATATTTAAGACCTTTCTGTTGTTGCATTTTCCCAGGTTAGATTTTTCTTATTTGTAGAGATTATAGTGGTAAATTAAACAACACCTTAGTACTGCGTCAGAGTTTGAAGTATCTCTGAGATGTTTGGAGTTTAAAAACGTTTTTTAGTCTTCGTTAGTTGACAGAGAACGTAACGTCCGTACAAAAACACGATACTCTACGTGTACTGTAGTACTGTAGTACTGTACTACTGTAGTACTGTACTAATGACTGTCTGCGTTGCTTTGTCCAACTTCTTCTCTTTGAAATATTCATGGTCACAACATAAATCAGAGTTATTATCCCACACCTCCTGACAGTGTCCTGTTCCTCGCTGCAGGAATGTTGTGCTGCCATGGAAACCAGCACCAGCTCCAGCTCTCCTCGAGGTTTCAGCGTGTTTTTAAATTAGATTTAATGTGTTGCCAACCTGCCAGAAGAAGAAGAACACACAAATCTCTCTTCAGTTCAGTTACAAAAATCCATCGTTATCACTGATCAGTGGAAGTGAAGTCTGTCTGGGACAGAGCCTTTAAATGTGTAGACATGTTTATTTTTTGCTGCCTGTCTGATGATTTCCATTGAGACATCATTTCATTTCAAACTCATCCTCAGTTTGCATCTTTATTTTTTCTATTTACGTGAATTACAGCCTTTCAAACATATTCACGTTTTAAATCCTTTTAATCCAAATGACATTTTTATGGTTAATTGGATTAAACAGCAGACATCAAAGCTGTTTGATAAACACTGTGGACTAAGACAATTGACTTGTTAACTACGACAAATAGATCTGTTACCACAGTCAAGTGATCGGGACAGTCCTCCGTCTCTGCCTCAGTCCATTTCCACCGGGGTGAGAGAGGAGCAGAGAGAACTCACCCACCAGGGTGAGAGAGGAGCAGAGAGACGGAGGCAGAGTGAGGTCGTGACTCTGTCAGTGTTTGTGCACATGTTTCCTCTGGGGCGTGTTTTCACACCGGTACACAGAGTTCCACCTGGAGCTGCTTCACAGTTCGATGCTCAGGCAGAGCAGAGCAGCAGTGGGACATGATGTTGGTCCCTGGAAAAACAGGACGAGTTTGAGTCAGACTGCAGTCGTCACCGACTGGTCTGTCCACAGAGCAGGAGAAACTTTTTTTGGCTAAAAATAATATGATGGTGATGATGAACATTTAGGAAGAAATTACTTTTGATTTAGTTTTTATTAAAGACTAGGGATGTCTGCGATTCACTGGTTGCTGATATCAGATCTGCTGATATTGTCCAAACACTTCATTTTTATCATCCCGTTTTTATCATCTCTTCCCTGTGTTTAATCCAGAATAACTAGCATAAAGAAATAACAAAAAAAAAACAGAAACATTCAAAGTCTTCAAATCTTTGCATCAACCCTGTTAGAGGATGCTGTACTGTATCTTTCTCACCATCACCATGGCAACTGCCTGGTGATGGTGTTTGAACTTAAAGCGGCTCCGGTGATCATTTGTTCATTTTCATTTTATTTATATTCTGACTTTGTGTGATGTTTGAAGATAAATATTTAATATTTTTTCCTCGATGAGAAATCACATCCAGATGATAACTCACATTTATTCCTGAAAAATCACATCCAGATGATAACTCACAGTCACAGTATGTTATGAATCAATTAGCATTTTAGCAAAAGAACATCAGGTCAAACTGAACAACCACTTCTGTGTTTCTTCAACCTTCAGGATGAAAATTGATGCCTTTTTTTTCTCTCTCTCTCTGCAGAGAAACTCCAGCCTCTCTGGCAGCACGAGAGGGATGTACCAGGTGTCGGAGCGACGCTC